TGGAAAATGTTCCTCCAGAAGATTTAGAAGATACCTAGCACCCTTGTGCGGAACATACAGAATGTTACCCCCTGACATCTGAGCTTTTGTGTACGAGCGAACGTTCCTTGATCCTATTATTCCTTAAAAAAGGGAAGGTAACGGATTATGCCAAACTCAAACTTGTTTCACCAAAAAGGATGGGCCTAGGAGTAGTGGCTTGGTCTTCTACAGGTTTAACCCAGGCCAGCTCTCCACAGTTCGGACTTCACCCATGCTTGTGCCATCCATGCCTGCTTCGTTTATTGTCACAGATCTTTGCAGTTTAATAAGCTCACTGGTACGATTCCTTCCACAATCGGCAACTTAACGAGCCTCATCGAGTTGTAGGCGTGATTGCTCTGTTGTGCGTTTTTGCCTTCGCCCCTCCTCTCACATCTCCAAGCACTCGTCCCCACCCCGCACCCATTCTTTCACGAGTAATGTTGTTCACGTTGTTCATGCTGCCTTTCATCCCGTTGCTGTATTTTGAGCCTTTGCTACCCAATGGCGAGTTTTGAGACATCTAAAAACTCGTGTATATTTAGTGCTCCTGCCACCCAATGGCGTTCCTTGCTCCTATCCGCCACTCGTTCTGGAGAAAGATTGGGTTACTTGTATCTGCTGCATGCTCATTCATGCTCATTGCCGCAGATCTCTTCATCATGAAGAGCTCACCGGCCCAATCCCCACTGCTATCGGCAACCTTGCAAGGCTGCAAGTCCTGTAAGTAGGCATGAGCGAGCCAACAAGTACCAAACTCGGGCCGAACCTGGTGCAAGCATAGTAGAACTAGAACCGAACCTCTCCGGTTCGGGCTGAACCAGCCTGAACAGCTCATGGTTCAATGTTCCAAGTTCTCATCTCAAGTTTGAACCTTCATGTGTTTGAGTCGCTTGATGCAAATCGGAGCGGGCCTTTTTTTTTTTTTTTTTTTTTTTTTAAAGCAATATCATGTCGTCTTGTCCATCCCCTGCCATTCTCTGCACACATACCAGGGGCCATATCCATCGTGCTGCCTTTTATACTTCTGTTGCTGTTTTTTAGATGCCTGCTTCTGATGGAGTTGCTCTTATCCCTTCTCGTTTCCAACCTTGACCTCCCTGTATCTCTCTACCACATGCCCACTTATGTTCGTGTTTGCAGAGGTCTTTATGCCAATTGGCTCAATGGCTCAATACCTGCTAAAATCAGCAACCTCACAAACCTAAAAAGCATGTAAGTAGTCACGAGCAAGTATCAAATATGAATGGGTTCGAGCCGAACCTGGTCAAACCGGCTGGTGGAACCGAACAAGTTGAACCAGCCTGAACAGCTCATGAGTCAACGTTAAAGCCCTCAGCTTAAAACATGTAGGGGCTTGGTTCGATCTGCTGCAGTTTGGGTCAAACCAGCTGAAGCAAGGGCTGCCTGAAATATGTAATCAGCAATGTATATAAGGCGTGTAGGCCTAATACTTTTACCCTTCTCCCTCTGTGTTTTTTTCATACATCCTTTCTTGTTGCTTCCCCATTCGCACTCTAACCTGTCGTCCTTTTCAGTCCTTTAACCTCAAAACCTTTGCATACTTCTCGTGTCCTTCTTTTCCTATTCTCATGTCACACCTCACTTGATCTGTCCCGTCCCCCTCATTCCTTGCTTTTCCTATTGCAACTATCTTTTTTTTGCCTCTCTCTCACTCTCTCCCCCCCTTCTCTCATGCTCTTTTCCATGCTCATTCTGTACAGTGTATACATGCCCTGGTGCAAGAAAACAACACATCTCCCTTCACTTTCTTAACCCCATCTATCTCCTGCCATTCTGCACACATCTCGGGAACAATGTCCGCTGCGTTGCCTTTTATGCCTCTGTAGCAGTTGTTCAGGTTTCCGTTGCTGAAGGAGTTACTCCTATCCGCTTCTTGTTTCCATGCAACCTTGGCCTCCCTTTTCCTATGTTCATGTTTGCAGAGGCCTTTATTCCAATCGGCTCACTGGCTCAATCCCTGCTGCAATTGGCAACCTCACAAAGCTCACTTACTTGTAAATAGACACGAGCAAGCACCAAATATGAATGGGTTTGAGCCGAACCTGGTCAAACCGGTTGATGCAACCGAACAACCTCCTTGGCTCGGGTTGAACCAGCCTGAACAGCTCATGACTCAACGTTAAAGCCCTCAGATTAAAAGATGTAGGGGCTTGGTTCGATCTGCTGCAGTTTGGATCAAACCAGTTAGAGCAAGGGTTGCCTGAAATATGCAAAGAGCAATGTATTCAAAATGTAGGCCTAATACTTTTACCCTTCTCCCTCTGTGTTACTTTCATACATCCTTTCTTGTTGCTTCCCCATTTGCACTCTAAGCTGTCGTCCTTTTCAGTCCTTTAACCTCAAAACCTTTGCACAATTTTCGTTATACATGGGCACCGAGGCGAGTTTTTCGCCTCGGCTCGTACGAGGCACTCGTTCGAGGGCGAGTGACGAGTGTGATTTTCCCTGAAAAAAACTCGTCCGAGCCGAGGCGAGTTTAACTCGGCGAGTTTTTAGAACTCGCCGAGCACTCGTTGCGCTGACGAGCTTTTTGAAAAGCTCGTGCATGTATATGGCAAGGAGCCGAGCTTCCCTCGGCTCGACCGAGCTTTCCTTGAAGCTCGGACGAGCTTTTGAAAAGCTCGTGCTATTTAGCCGAGTCACGAGCTTGCATTTGCCCGGAAAAAGCTCGTACGAGCAAAACTCGGCTCGGAACAAAGCTCGTACGAGTGTGCCTGGGGACGAGCCGAGTAAAACTCGGCTCGGCTCGTTGCCCATGTATACTTTTCGTGTCCCTCTTTACCCATCCTCATATCACACCTCACATGATCTGTCCCGTCTTCCTCATTTTTTGCTTTTCCTATTGCACTATCTTGTTTCTGCCTTTCTCTCACTCAAATGGACCTTCCATTAGGAAACATAAATGTTACAGCACACTACGATCACGGCATACAGGTGTTAGACCTTGAGCTTAGAATCCATACATTAGTAATGAGCTCAGGGCTCTTTAAGTACATTGGAAATGGGCAAGGTAGGGGTGGAGAGAGAAACAGGGGCAATCCTAAGGAATTGGGGGTAATCCCAAGGCAATCTCCAATTGGTGGGTTGGAGATTGCTTGGAGATCACATTTGGGTTTGGTTGGGATGTGGGTGTACACCCAACCAAACACAAAGTGCAAACTACACTAAACTAGGAAATAAAAAAGTACAAGTATAAGTGTGAGATTGAGGGCTAACATCAACACCCACCCATAGGCATCAATCGAACTCATGGCAGAGAAGGTGGAGCGCAGAGCCCCATGGCGCCTAGAAGGCGATGGTGAAGAACCTTCCCAAGGGGCTTGGTGAACAGATCAGCCAAGTTGCAGTCAGAAGACACATACTCCACATTGAGCTGCTCCGGCTGGACAAGGTCACGGATGAAGAAGTGCCGAAGTTCGATGTGCTTGGTGCGAGTGTGGTACACGGGATTCTGTGAGATGTGGATGAAGCTCTTGTTGTCACACCAGAGGGTGGGAGTGTGCTGAGGATAGCCAAGCTTCTGGAGTAGGAAGGTGAGCCAGCGGGCCTCCTGAGCCGCCATGGTGCCAGCGTAGAGCTCTGCCTCACAGGAGGAGAGGGAGACTGCAGACGACCGGGTGGAGCGCCAGCTGACAATCCCGCTCCCAAGGGTGAAGCAGTAGCCTTGGGAGGAGCGTCGGTCGGTCTGGTCATCAGCCTAGGAGGAGTCTGTGTACCCTTCCAGTTGAGGAGGAGAAAATCCACCAAGGGTGAGGACATGAGACTTGGTTCTCTGCAGATAGCGCAGCACCCGCTTTGCCGCTTTCCAGTGAAAATCAGTGAAGCGTCCAGGAGCCACATAGCGAGAGAGGACACTGACAGGGTATGCCAGGTGAGGTCGGGTGCACATCATGGCATACATGAGGGTCCCAACAAACTCTGGGTATGGCTCTGTGCAGGCCTCTGGTGTGGGGACAGCAGGAGCGGTGAGGAGGTGCTGTAATGGTAGTGGGGTGGTGATGGGTGTGCACAACTCTATCTCGAAGCGCTTGAGCACATTGTTGATGTAGAACTCCTGGGAGAGTGAGATGGTACGAGCCTGACGATCACGAGTTATTTCCATCCCCAGGTAGTGCTTGAGGTCACCGAGGTCTTTCATCAAGAGGGCTTTGCTCAGAGCCGCCTAGACAGAGGTTATCTGGGCCAAGTCCTTGGCAACAGGATGAAATCATCGACGTAGACAAGGATGCAGAATGGCTCAGAGTGACTGCGAATGAAGAGAGCCGGGTCAGCAGATGATGGGTGAAAGTCCAAGGAGAGAAGGACTTCTTTCACTTTGTTGTGCCATTCACGAGGGGCTTGTTTGAGGCTGTAAATAGGGAAATTCAGCTTCCAGACAGTGTTGGGAGGGAACTCTCATGGAAAACCTTCAGGTCGGTCCATAAACACAGTCTCCTTGAGGTGTCCTTGCAGGAATGCTGAAGAGGCGTCCATGGATTTGATCTCAAAGTCGTCTCGTGCGGCTACATCCAAGAGCGTGCGAACTGTGGGTGGTTTGGATGTGGGAGATAGGGATGAGCATAAGGCGAACTCGAACATGTTCGTGTTCGTCTTAGCTCGAACAGGGCTGTTCGGCGAACCGAACCGAACACTTTTCACTAGAAAGGGTGTTCGGAGTTCGCCCAGAGAGGCAAACATTTCGAACGTTTTGGCGAACACGAACACGTTCGCCAAGAACATGTTCGTGTTCGCCTTAGAGGGGTTGGCACTACAATTCTATAGATTTAATTAGTGCCAATGCATCCCTGTCTTTAGGATTAGAGTAAAGTATGTTTTTCCGAAACCAGCACAATGTTTATAATTACTAATATGAGCATAACTAACGAGTAGCATAAAACATGTCCACATCCCGAAGTCAACCCGGCATTCACTCAACATGGAAACGTCACCAAGGGGCCGCTCGAGTGCCCACACAACTAGGTCCATGTTCCACCCTCGCTACCAACACCATCATCCCCTCCACCTGCTGCTGCGTCCACCCCTCTCCCCTCCCCCGCCTCCACCTCCACCTCCTCCGCCGGCGCCTTCTCCACCTCCACCTCAGCCTCCTCCTCCTCCTCCTCCTCCTCCTCCTCCTCCTCCTCCTCCTCCTCCTCCTCCTCCTCCTCCTCCTCCTCCTCCTCCTCTTCCTCCTCCTCCTCCTCCGCACCCTCGCCCTCTATAACAATCTCCAATGCTGCAGCACCCTTCGAGCGGCGGCCCTCGCCGATCCTCTGGCCAGGGTGCGATCCATACCACGAGCGGAGAATCATGCAGGCTCGCGCCCTCTCGGAGTTCAGGCGGTGACGCTTCCACGAAATGAGGTTGCGGCCCAATGAGAACACCCGCTCGCTCGCAGCAGACGTGGCAGGGATGGCGAGATAGTCCCTCGCCATCCGCTTCAGCGTCTCCATGTTCGTGGAGGTGCGCCAGTACTCTAGCCCTGACACGTCGTACCGCACCCTCTCCGACAAGTACCTGCTGACCTCGTCATCCTGCACAAGACCTCCCCCCCCCGCCGCCTGGCTCGCAGACAGACGCGCCGCAAGGCGTCGTCGACTAGGGAGATACAGGTCGTCCTCGTCCTCCGCCCCTTTCTCTCCCTCCTCCTCCTCGACCACCGTGGGAAGTGTGGTGGGCCTAGGAGCCAGCTCCCTCGCCGCTGCCTGGTACTCGGCCACCCGATCACGTACCAGCGCGATCACCACGCTCGACGCAGGTCGCGTCCTCTCCCTCTGAGCCGTCTCTGGATGCTGCGTCTCCCAGTGGGGGTCGTCGAACCACGCTGCCTTCATGGAAGGATCCAGGAAGGTGGCGATCCAGCCCTCGTTGCTGCTGATGTACTCGTACTTCTTCAGGATTCTCAGCGCCTTCTCGACCAACGGCTTCAGCAGCGTAGAGGGCCCCTTCGCCAGTCGGGCCTCCATGGCGTCGATAAGGCCGCTGTAGTACGGCGTCACCATCGACAGCGTCGGGTACGCCGTCCCCTCGGCTGCCTTGGAGACCTTGTTGAAGGGGCTGAGAAATGTTCTCAGCTCCTTCAACATGTCCCACTGCTCGTCAGACAGGCGCATCTTCTCGACCTTATCCTTGTCTAGCTTCGACAGGCCCTGCACGGGGTAGGGTGTGGTGGGGCGGGGCATATAAGGAGCATGGTTGTTATAAGTATGTCTTGCTCAACATGCGACCAATTGCTCAACACACAAACGACATGCCGCACACAAGCCGAACACATGCCAAACACATGCCACACACATGCCGCACACATGCCACACCCATGCCGCAAACATGCCACACACATGCCACACCCATGCCGCACACATGCCACACCCATGCCGCACACATGCCACACACATGCCGCACCCATGTCATACACATGCCACACACATGGCGCACACATGCCACACCCATGCCGCACACATGCCACACACATGCCACACCCATGCCGCACACATGCCACACCCATGCTGCACACATGCCACACACATGCCGCACCCATGCCACACACATGCCACACACACAGTGAACCGATCCGATCCTTCCCTGTACCTGAGTCGAGGCCAGAAACAAAGTGATCAGATTCTGCAGCTCAATGAAGCGGTCGACCATGGCGTGCGTCGAGCCCTAGCGGGTAGGGCTGTCCTACACCAGCTTCAAGGCTGGTTTTTTGACACGGGCCTGCAGGTTCAAGCTGCGCTGCAGTCCAAGGAACGCTGCCGAACGCTGGGGCGAGAACCCAACCCAGCTCGCCATGTCCCTGAGCACCTTCAACAGGTTGCGAATGGCCTCCTTCAATCCTGCCTGCACTGCCAGGTTGACCACATGTGATATGCACCTGCCGATCATAGCGCCATAGGCATGGGTTTTGGGATGCATTGACACACGGTCTTCGGGTGCTGCTGGGGAATCCAAAAACCCCAGATTCGGCCACACACACCCACATTGACGACCCTCACAAGCCCCCACAAAAACACCCCCACACACACCACTCATACCTGAAGTGCAGGCGGGTGTTGAAGAAACGTCGACCACCACCCTCCTCCGACAGCCTCCTAAACGCGGCAATGTTGGCCGAGGCGTTGTCTGAGGTGAGGCCCAGACAACGCCCCTCCAACCCCCACATCACCACCGTGTCCTCCACGACCTGCGCGATCTGCACTGCTCCATGACGACCCGTCAGCTCGCGAAACTCGAGCACTGCCTCGCGTAGCTGGAAAGACTCGTCTATCCAGTGACCCGTGACAACTAGCCACGCCTTCCCATTGGGTGCAGTCCAGATGTCAATGGTGTATGACACCTTGCACCCCAACTCCCCCTCCTTCTCCAGCAGCTCCGCTTTGGCGGCCGACAGAGCGGCCGCAGCAAACGCCACAGTGTCGCGTGCCACCGTCCAGCGCGACGGTATGAAGTTCTTCTCCCCGCAGTGGTGGTTGCACAGGGTCAGAAGCTCGCGAAATCGGTGGGGTGGGTGAGACGGCACACAAAACGCAAGCGTTGGGTTTTGCAACACAGCTCAAGAATGGAATTGCCAAGGAGAGAGCGTAAGTCACAGCCCCCTAATCCCTCCCCTAAACCTGCGTACAATCTTGGCAAACCACCCACCACCAGCAGTACACGCTTACCGCCTCACTCTCCACAATTTTGAAAGGTAGGTCGCAGGTCACCACCAGTTTTGCGATCGCCTGACGAAGCTCCACTTCTGACAGTTTCTTCGACATGTAGCTCTTGATCCCTGCGACGCCAGACCCCTCAGCCCCTCGCCCCTCTGCCTTCCCTCCCTTCTTTGGGATGTTAGGCCAGCTTCTACATGCGGCCAATAGTATACGTAGCCGTCTGGCACTCCCACGTAGCCCCCCCTCGGGAGCGTCTCGCCCGGCAGTTGCAGATGTGGATTTTGGTAACGATGATACCACACATCCATGTGAGCAGTGTGGAAGCTCTCGAAGTGGCGCTCGCCTGGGGTGGTTGTTGATCCCCGCCAAGAAATGCGATCGGTACAAATCTTGCACTGTCGCTTGTCATCGGTCCCCTTAGGCCCAAACATCTGTACTTGCCACCCCGTTTCTTCCGCCCCCCCTTGCCACTCCCCCTGCTACTCTCGGGTTGTCCTCCTCGTCAAGGAACTCTGTAGCAATTACACCCTCGCCCAGATCCACCCCTCGGAAGGTGCAAGGATACGCTCGAGTCCTCGCCTTCTCGGCTTTCTTCTTCCGAGTCCCAATTAACGGCCTCTTTCGCCCAACCTTAACACCGCCGCGCACCCGTCTTCCCCCCACGTGCTGAGAGGCCTCCTCTGCAGTAGCTGCAGCCACCCCTCCTCCCTCACCAACCCCCTCCTCCACCTCCTCTGGCTCCAACCCTTCCATCTCCTCATCCTCATCTCCTCCCCCGTCCGCACCACCACCGCCATGAGTCTCGGGTGTCCACCCCGGCTCACTATCGTCACCGCTACCCTCCTCCTCCTCCTCCTCCTCCTCATCCTCCCCCTCATCGTCCTCGTCCTCCTCCTCGTCCGCCGCACTGTCAGTCTGAGTGGTGGTGCGCGCCTGCTCAGAAGGACGGGGCCGTGAACCACTGTAACGGAACGATTGACGGGATGACGGCACGGGCATGGCCATAAGCCCACCGACAAAACACGCACCAACACCTCCCGGGCCGTCACCTGGCCGTGCCTGCATTGGTCGTGGTGCAGGCGATGGAGCGCTGGCCTGACTACCGCCCGCGACCGCCCCGCCCTGCACTAACTGGTTGGTGGGAGGACATTTCCGCAACCGCCGATGAAACCTAAACCCTAGCTAGAACGGTACTGCGGCAGCGAGGTGTGGGAAGCGGAGTGTCACTATGATCATAAACTTAACGGTGGGAACTACTTCAACGGTGGGGCCAACCCTAATAGTAGAGACGAATCTTCAACTTTGGAGTAGATGCTACGTTCTTAGTATTGAACTTCTAAGCCACCATAATGCCGAAAAGCCATAGTTAAATAAGTTTAGTTTAGGGCCTATGCTAATACTAGAAGCCTAGAAGGTGTGGGTGAGGTAGGTGGTTGTGGGGCGGGCGGGCTGTTGGGAGAGCCATGGTCGACAAGCTAGGAAAATGAGCGAAGATTGAAAATGCCGCGACCCTAAATTAGGTCGCGACATTTTCGTCGACGAACATTTTAGGTGTTCGTCGACGAGCCCGTCGAACACGAACATGTTCGTGTTCGACGCGCCTCGGCACATCGCGGCCGGCGAACAGCGAACATGTTCGCCCGAACGTCGAACATGTTCGGGACGAACATTTTTACCCAAAAAGAAAAACCGTTCGGTTCGTCTCGAACATGTTCGAGACGAACCGAACGGGTGTTCGCCAATATGCTCATCCTTAGTGGGAGAGAAGGTTTTGAAGAAGTCAAAGTACTGCTGCTGAGTGAATCCCTTGGCCGCATAGCGTGCTTTGAACAATGGTGCCTCGTCCGGAAGCTGCTTCACTCGAAACAGCCACTTGCCACCAACGATGTTAACTCATGGGGGTGGAGTTTCGTCGTCAAAGGAGTGGTTGCGGGTGAAGGCTTGAATCTCAGCTTTCATGGCAGCGCGCCACTCGGCAGCATGGGGACCCGAGAGAGCCTCTTGGACGGTGAGAGGGATAGGAATGGTCGGGTTCTCCGAGAAGTTGAGCGAGGGGTATTCAGTGATATCGGGGAAGATGTGCAAAAGCTGAGGAAGGACAGCGTGGAGATCACACGGCTCCTCATGCCTGTCTTCCAGAAGGGTAGAGGGCACATCCCCCCCAGCAGGAGGAGTCGGAGTGATCACTGAGCATCGAATGTCAAGTGCCAGTGGAGGAGCAGCCCCATGCGACCGAGTGCCATGAGCCACGGAAGAAGAGGGTGGAGCAGGCGTTCCTGGAGGGGACGGCTTAGGGGGCTTGGGGGGAGGGATCGGCCGTCGTTGGTACGTGATTACTTTGCAGGGCTGTGGGAGAGCAGGTTCCTGTGTGGAGGAGGGAACCGGGCGAGAAGGTGGGGCGGGGGGGTTCGACCGCCGATGGTATGTGATTGGTGCGCTTGGTGGTGGGGGCGCAGTTGGCAGGGTGGAAGAAGGCGGGGATGGAGGAGCAGCTGCCGAGGACACCGGAGAGGTCGGGTCAGAGACCTCGGACGGGGATGGTGCGATGGCAGGAGAAGCAAGAGGTGAGCGGACTGGTGCAGGTGGAGGTTCAGAAGGTGCATCAAAGTCAGCCCACACAAGAGAGGGCGGTTCGGGGGGGGGATCCCCCCCGAGGTGGAGTAGAAGGGGCGAGTCTCATCAAAGACGACATCTCGGCTTCGGAAGAGTTGTTGAGTGGAGGGGTTGAGGAAAAGGTAGTCAGGGGAGTCTGCGTTATGTTTAAGGTATATGCACGTTTGAGTTTTGGGACCAAGCTTGCCACCTTGCCGCTGTCGAGCCTGGGGGTTGAGGAGTACATAGGCGGTGCACCCCCAAACGCGAAGGGGGCGAGCAGTGGGTGTTTTCCCGAGCCAGAGTGTGGTGGGAGTGGTGTCGGGAAGATGCGAGTGGGGATAGAGGTTGTAGAGGAGGGCGGCATGATAGAGGGCGTACCCCCAGAGTGAGAGTGGTGCGTTGGAGTGGCTGAGGAGGCAGCGAGTGATCTGCGTCAGTGTGTGATTGCGGTTTACTGCTATGCCGTTCTGCTGCGAGCTGTCAGGAAGAGTGAAGTTTTGCAGGATGCTAAGGGAGGAGCAGAAGGCTTTGAGCTTGTCGTTGCAAAATTCACCACCACCATCCGAATAGAGACGCTTGACCTTGGTGCCAAAGGAGGTATGCGCCTGGTTAACCCATGCCATGATTGCCTCCGGGGCCTCAGCCTTAGTGTGGAGGAGGTGCACAGAGACGTAGCGAGTGTGGTCATCAACTATTAGAAGGAAATAGCGATGGCCACCCCGTGCGCCAACCGCGGCAGGGCCCCAGACGTCCATGTGCGCTAGGTCCAGTGGGGCTGCCGCAACTGAGGGTGAGGCCGGGTGGGACTGTCGGCGCAGTTTGCTCTTAATGCAGTCAAGGCACGTGGGAGCGGGTGAGTCAGGTGGTGGAGGAAGTGAGGCTGGCAGGCCGAGAAGGAGTTTCTTGGAGGCCATGTCAGCAAACATGCGGAAGTTTGGGTGCCCGAGCCGATGGTGGTAGAGGATGGTCGGGTTGGAGAAGCTGCGACATGAGCATGGTGTGATAGTAGCCTATGCTAGGGTGGTTGACACCTGTGGGATAGGTACGCGCAGCGTGTAAAGGCCGCTGCTATTGAGGGTGAAGCAAGCCAAGACCTTGTTGGTGAGTGGATCGATAATGTCGCAAGAGTCTTCGTTCTCCGAGAAGATGGTGCGTAACCCCGCCTCTTGAGTTTCCATTTGAGCCACTAGATTGTGGCGTAGTGAAGGCACGCACATGCCAGTGACAGTGCCGGATGGGAAGACGGGGCGTGGGACTGTGGATGAACCTTTGGCAAGAGTGGTGAAGCTTGAATCAGCTCCTAGAAGAGGAATGTATGTTGCGTAGGGTTTAAACGAGAGTGTCTCCTTGAGCACAGTGTGAGTGGCCTCGCTGTCGAGTGTGAATTCTATGTATTGTGGTGCTTGTGATGAGCCGATGTACTAGGAGGTTGCTTCATTAATCATGTCGGTGCCAGGGAACAACAGGTTGATACGCACATCAGCAGGAGCACTATCACTAGCACTAGCCGAAGCGGGGTCCTGGACCTCAACTAGGTTGGCCTTACGAGGGCGCATCCAGTTTGGCAGCTTCTTGTCTACTCCGTGGATGACATACCATTCGTCGTCTTTCTTCTTGAAGCACGTGGCGAGGGGGTGGTTAGTGCCACCACACACTTGTCCCTTGCGGTTGCCATACTTGACAATGTAGGTGCATGGAGGAAAGCGGTTGCGCTGAAAGGACGCCGAGGCGAGTGCCGATGCGACACTTGCTTGAGGCACGGGAGCACGAATGGCGTAGGCCTTGGCTTGGGCCGAGGAGTTTTCTCGGCGGAAAGGAGGGCGGAGGATACCTTAGCAAAGGTGAGGTCTTCCGCCGAGGACGTGAGGCCAACAAGAAGGGCGACTACAGGAGCTTGTTCGGGGAAGATGATACCTAGCTCCTTGAGCTCGCCATGGATGGTTTGCACCTTGGCGATGTAGTCGGACATACCCGGGTAATCCTCAAGGCGGACTTGGAACATGCTAGGAACAAGGATGGCCACCCCGACCGCCGTCTTATTCATGAACATGTCCTGGAGATGCTTCCAAATGGCGTTGGAAGTGGGGTAGTTGTGGAACGTGTTGACAAGTTCGGGAGGAGTGGAGCTGATAGCCGCATCGGCCTTATCCCACTTGCGATACTTGGCAACAGAGTCCTCGTACTCCTGGGTTGCCACGGCATCGGTTGGATCGGACGGCTCCTTGGGGATGGGGGGGCTGTTTCCCCTTGCCGTGATTGAGAAGAACGTCTTTGAGGTCAAGTCCACCCACTTCACGACCGGCTCAGGAGGTGCTTGTCAACTCCGTAGCTCCATGCCTTGAAGTTGGAGCTAGTGCCGTCGGCTTCAAGGCGGAGCGGGGTGATGGGGTTGGCGAGAGTGGCCGAGGCGAAAGCCATGGCGAAGAACCCTTTAGGTCTCGCATGAAGCGCTGCTCTTGAGTCAACGATAGGAACTTGAGGTTTAGGGTCCGAGGGAGAATTTGAAGAACTTGGGGTTCAGGGTTTACAAAAGAGAATTGTGAGGTTTATGGTTTTCGAAGGAGAAAATCCGAGGGACGCGAAGAGCGAAAAGCTTTAATGTTGGCCGCTTCGGAATGTCTCGTAGAAGGAGGTTTAAGGCCGATGAAGGTAGGTCAAATCGGCTGATTTCGGTAGCTAACCCTAATCCCACACACCCCCCCACACACCACCCTCAGCTTCGCGGCTACGCTGCTGCTCAGCTTTGCTGCTACACGGCTGCTCAGCTGCGCGGCTGCACCTGTTCAGCTGCAGAGTGCCGTTGCGGGGCGACGGGCGGCAGCCCGACGAGAAGCTGCAGGGCGACGGGCGGCGGCCCGACGAGAAGCTGCAGGGCGACGGGCGGCGGCCCGACGAGAAGCTACAGGGCGACGGGCGGCGGCCCGTCAAGAAGAAGAGGAGCGAAGACGATTGTCGGAAAAATGCGATTGGTTAAAGCGCCGACGATGCGCTTACCAGAAAAGTTGCGAAAGTCGTCGAGAAGGAAGGGAGAGTGGCGCGGGAAAATTTCCGGCCAAGGAAGTCGCATATCACCGGCGACGGGCTTGATGGCGGCTACGCCAAAGAAAGCGGGACAAGAGCCCGTTGAGATAGGAGGATCATGATACGCGTATGCGGTTGAATCGCTCTGATACCATGTTAGAACTTGAGCTTAGAATCCGTATATTAGTAATGAGCTCAAGGCTCTTTAAGTACATTGGAAATGGGCAAGGTAGGGGTGGAGAGAGAATCAGGGGCAATCCTTGGGAATTGGGGACAATCCCAAGGCAATCTCCAATTGGTGGGTTGGAGATTGCTTGGAGATCACATTTGGGTTTGGTTGGGATGTGGGTGTACACCCAACCAAACACAAAGTGCAAACTACACTAAACTAGGATATAAAAGTACAAGTACAAATTGTGAGATTGAGGGCTAATATTAACAACAGGTAG